TGTGTTCCCTCTCTCGCTGTGTCTCTCTCTGTCAAATAAATAAATAAAATCTTTAAAAAAATAAAAAATAAAAAAATAAAATAATCAGGGTAAGATAAAACAGTGAGTTTAAGTTTAGGAACCAGTTAGAAAAGGATAGTTTCATGAAAGTGGTAAGTAAAGGTAGATTTCCTAATCAAGGTCAGAGATGATGACCTGGCTTCACATACTGTCTCTTTTCTGTAGCCCTCTTGGATTTAGGGAGCTTTGTGGAGGAAGTAAATGGACAGAGGATCAAATTGGGAAAGAATGAAGAATATTTTAGTAGTGACTCGAAGAGTGCTGATGTCAGATGGAGTTCAGGGGTATTGAGTGATTATGACCACTGTTTCCTTTTTTTTTTTCTTTCTAATTTTAACTTACATATTCAGTAAAGAACACAGACTTCAATTGCTTAGTCAGCCTTTTTTGTTTGTTTCTAAATCAAACTACCACAGCAGGTTGGGGAGCTATTTTGGAAAATTTAAATATTTGAATCATTGTTCAGATACTAAAGGAAATTTGAATTTATTGTGCATACGGAGTTCAAAATAATTAAATGAAAATTATATTTTGGTTAATTGTAAAGAAAAATTATTAAAGGATTTGATGAGATAAACTGAAATAATTTGAAATAAAAAAGGTGGTTTGCTAAGTAACACACTGGAAAACACTAGAAACCACTTCTATTCCCAGACCTGATTCTTCTACTCAACATGTGGTTCCCCAATAGCCTAGGCATAACCTGTGAGCTTGTTCAAAAAGCAGAATTTCGGTTCCCATCCCAGACCTACTGAACCAGAATGTGTATTTTTAACAAGAACTCCGGGCGATTTTGTTTCTCTACATTCCAGTTTCAGAAGCACTTTCAGACAAACCCTTCCTGATGTGGTTGTACCTAAAAATGCTCTGTAACATTATAAACTGTTTTGTTTTTTTTTTCATTACAAAGCTGAGCTGACAGGCAAATAAGGAAACCCTGGGATGCCAAAGGTAGCACAGGTATTTTTAGGGGATTTATGGATTCCCCGAAGCCCACTGTGAACTCGCTTTCATTCCCTTCATAGTGCTATCTATCTCTGCACTGCAAGTAACAGATGCCACCAGACGATCAGTAGCTTCTGATTAGAGTAGCAACAGCACAGCGGTAAGAATTCGGGCTTGAATAACGATGAGAAGCTGGAATATTTACTGCTTAAACAATAAACTCATAAATATTTTTGTTAGAGCAAGAGATTAAAAAGAACATTTTGCATATATTTTATATACCTTAATGTATACCACATCTATTATATAAATATCAACCTCTCTTTCTCCATTTTAACTATTTCCATATATTCAATTTCATCTCTTCTAGCTTGAACTCAGCTAGAGTTTACAACCAAAAAAAAAAAAAAAAATCATAGCTACCTTTTATTGAGTGCCCTCTATGTGCCTGACAATATATAATCTCTCATTTAATTTTAATTAACATCCTCATTATGCATATTTTACTGAGACTTAAAGAGGATAAGAACTTACCCAACCAAGGTCACACAACTACTAAATGATTGACCAGATCCTTACTGACTAAGCAGTTTATTTTAGTAATAATTCAGCTTCTTCTGGTCTGGATTATCTAATTAACACACTGATTTTTTTTTTTTTAAGATTTATTTATTTGAGAGAGCGAGAATGAGAGAGAGAGAGAGAGGGAGAGAGAGAGAGTACATGAGAGGGGGGAGGGTCAGAGGGAGAAGCAGGCTCCTCGCTGAGCAGGGAGCCCTATGCGGGACTCGATCCCGGGACTCCAGGATCATGACCTGAGCCGAAGGGAGTCACTTAACCAACTGAGCCACCCAGGTGCCCCAACATACTGATTTTTGTCTTCAGTTCACTTTAAGAAGTTTTAAAACGTATTAAAATCTGTATTTCCGCTCAGACTGGGAATTTCTCTCCCCATTCCCAGTGCCTAGATCTTGGTCTCTTACATGCAGTAGTGTTATAATAATAAATAATTTGGGGCATCTGGGTGGCTCAGTCGATTAGGTGTCTGCCTTTGCTCCGGTCATGATCTCAGGGTCCTGGGATCGAGCCCCACATTGGGCTCCCTGCTAGCAGGGGACCTGCTTGTGCTCTCTCGCTATCTCTCTCTCTCTCAAATAAATAAAAAATCTTTAAAAAAATAATAAATACTTTGGTTGGCCTTTGCCCCTGGTTTCTGGAAGATGCTATATCCTTGAATCACACTTGGTTATAGGATGACCCTGGATGGGTTACTGATAGCCAGAAAGGACCACCATGGGATTAGAAGGTTGGGGCTCTGAGGTCTCCCTACCTCTGGGGAGGGGTAGGGAAAGGGAACGGAGATTGAGTTCAATCACTGGGCCAATGAATCAATTATACCTACATAATGAAACCTTCAATAACAACTCAACACCCAAGCTCAGTGGAGATTGCCACTAGTAAATATATTGGTGTGCCAGGAGGGGTGACACAGTTCTCCATGGGAAGAGGGCATGGAAGGTCTGTGTTTGGGATCTTCCTATACCTGTCCTCAGAGTCTCTTCATATGGCTAGTCCTGATTTGTGTCTCTTAAAATAATTATAAACTCTTAATTATAAATACAGAATGTGTCTGAGTTCTGAATCAGTCTAGCAAATTACTGAACTTCAAGGGGAATTATGGGAGCCTCTTGGATTTGTAGCCAGTTGGTCAGAAGTGTGGGGGGCCTGGGGACCCTTGATCTTGCAGCTGGCATCTGAAATAAGGGCAGTCTTGTTGGGGACTGTGCCCTTAAATCAGTGGAGTCTGACACTAAATCTGGGTGGTTAGCATCAGAGTTATATCGCATATTGTAAGTTGGTATTAAATAGATATTTGCTGTATCAAATTCATTTTCCTAGAATTATGGTGCCTTGTAAAAGATTTATATAATTTTCTTAAATAAGTACAATTTTGTCTTATTATATAGTTAATATATATGCATTATAGGAAAATTAGCAAGTATAGAAAATAAAAACTAATTTCAATCCAGGAATGAACCATAATTGAAAGTTTTATTTAAATCCTTTTAGTCTAATTCTCTCTAGGCATAATTATATAGCTTTTTTGTCATTGCAGCAAATATTAAATTATTTTCTACATATTGTTTTGTAACTTACTCTTTGCACTTAATACTTCATGGGCATATTTTCCTGCCAAATATTCTTCATTGCATTTTAATGGCTACACAGCAGTTCTATATTAGCAGTTCTGAAATGTAAATTCTTTATACTCTTAAAAATTATTATGGACCCCAAGGAGATCTTGTTTATGTGGATATCATATTTAATGCATGTGGAAGTAGAAATGATAAATTTTTAAACACAAAAATACACAAACACATATTCTATTAGATGTCAGATTGATGGCATCATCAATCATCCTGTAGCCTCTAAAAAACCCCACTGTACACTTGTGAGAGAATGCAAATAATAAAACAAATTATCTTCTTGGTGTTATTATAAAAATAGTTTTGACTTCATGGACCCCTGAAAAGGTGTTTGCACTTTAAGAACAGGCAGTCTATATTATTCTGCAACTTGCTGTTACTCAACTTTCAGTCTTCTAGGTCCATTCATAACTTGGATGTATTTTTTCATTGTGGTTCTGTATTACTGTATTTGTCTTTGAATGCCTATTTCACAATTTTTTTATTCATTTCTCAACTGACTGACATTTATATTGTTTCTTTTTTTTAATTTTGGCTATTACAATTGATGCTGCAGAAAACGCGTACAGGACTGCTGGTGTAATATTTCTCTAGTATACTTCTCTACAAGTAGAGTTTTTGATGTGTACTTTCAACTTTATTACATTTGCCAAATTTCTCTCAAAAGTGAATATACAATACACCCTCACCTGGTTCTTTCTTCTTCGTTGCTAATTATTGGTACTGCTAGATTTCTGGAAGCTGATAATCTGATGGGTGTGAAACAGTACCATATTATTGGTTTAATTTGCATATCCCTAATCACTAGTGAGGTTGAGGTCCTTTATATATATTTATCAGCCATTCTATGTTTACCCTTTTTTTCTTACTGAGCTGATTATCTTTTTTATATTGACTTACAGGAGTCCTATATAAGTATAGTACACTTAATATTTTGTTAATATATTGCAAGCATATTTTCCCATCTGTCATACATCTTTTAACATTGTTGGCACTCTTTTGGTATGCCAAAGTTTCTGATATTTAATTTAGTAAAATCTTCCAAAATTTCCTTTGAGCTTTGTTTTATGTGTCTCATCTAATGAAACCTCTTGTGTCCTTTATTTTACTTCTAATATTTCAGAATTTTTTGTCAAAGTAAGAACTTAATCCATCTGAAATTTGCTTTTGTATATGGTGGTCAGTTTGATATTTAATTGTATTTAGCCCCATTTTGGAAAGACTATTGTTCCAATACCTAAAGGTCAATCCTTCCTCCAGGGATTTACAGATCTTCCCATACATGCCTGGGTCTGTTTCTAGATTCTATATTCTATTATTTTCACCTAATTAAAAAATTCTTGCAATAATATAATACTATTTTAATTATAGCTCTATTATTAATCTTAATATGAGACAGGCCCAATTGTTCTCATCCTATTGTTTGTCTGTTTGCTTCCCTTCCTTCCTTTTCAGAATTGTTCGGAAAATTCTGGGCCCTTACTCTTCTAAATGAATCATCTGTGAACATGACATATTTCTCTGCTTACTCATATCTCTTAAAAAATAGAACAATATCTTGCACATCTTCTGTTAAGTACACTAAGAATCTAATACTTTTTGTTGCTATTGTGAAAAGTACCTTATTTGATAGTGCAGTTTCTAATTGCTATTGCTGGTGCAGAAATACTAGCAGCAACCTTGCTAAACTTTTACTAAATCTGAATTTGAAATCTATGCATTTTTATATTTTTCTCTCAATCATATTGTTTCTTACTGTCCTGCTCCTTGGAACCTATTTTTTCTTGTCATACTACATGTTATAGCCTGAGTTATGTCTACCTCAAATTTGAAGTCATAATTCTCAGTACCCAGAATGTGACTGTATTTAGAGACGGCCTTTACAAAGGTAATTAAGATTATTAAACGAGGTCATTATAGTTGGTCCTAATCCAATATGACTGGTGTCCTTATAAGAAGACATCAGGATACAGACATGCACAGAACAATGATGGGGAGATGACAGAAGGAGAAGACAGACATCTACAAGCCAAGGAGGGAGGCCTCAGAAGAAACCCACCCTGCCAACACCTTGATCCTGAACTTCCAGCCTCCAGAACTGTGAGAAAATAAATTTCTGTTGCTTAAGCCACCCAACTTTGGTATTTGTTACAGCAGCCCTAGCAAATTAATATACTCCCTTAGCTTAGACCTGTAATAAAACAGTGAGTAGTAGTTGTGATAGCATATTTGTATTCTATCTAATTTGAAAGAGAATGTCTAAAGTTTTATATGTAAACATCATGTTTGCTACAGGCTTTTGGAAGATTCTCTATAACTGATTAAGGAAGTTCCCTAGAATGCTATACTAATATGTTTCTTTTTTTTAAATTGAAGTTTATCATACATTTAAAAGTGCAAAAGGAATATATGTAAAATTTAAAGTTAGAAATTGTTAAGAAACAGAAAATTACCAGTACTTTAGAAGCCTCTTTGCACTTCTCACTGATGATATTTCCTTCCATCTCCCCCAGAGGTAAATATTGTCTTGAATTTAATATTTATCGTTCCTTAGTTTTCCCACCTATGAATGCATCCTTAAGTGGTTTCTTTTTAGACTTTATGTAAATGGAACTGTAATTTATATTTTTGTGAACTGCCTGTCATTATGTTTCCCAGATTCATCTAGTTTAAGCACCAGTATAATTCATTTGTTTTCACTTGGTATACTATTCACTGTATGAATATATAAAAACTTATTTATCTTATTGACATTGTACTGTAGTCTTTCTGGCCAACCATGAATAATCTAATAACATTCCTGTGAACCTCTCATGCATGTACGAGTTTCTCTAGGTATAGAGACTAGTGTAAAATTACTGGATCATGGGGCATATTCAAGTTTAACTTTACTAGGTATACGTATGGCAGAACTGAGATCCAAGAGAACTGGTAGGTACAGGGTATGTGTATCTTTAATTTTATAGATGATGCCAAACTATTTTCCAAAGTGGGTATGCATATATATATAGTGTGCATGCATATGTACACCAAGAGCTTTAACCTACCTGTTTGGTAAGTGACTTCCACGTTTTAACAACTGTAATAAACAAATATAAAAGATAATAAATACTTCATGTAATGTACATCTGAATTCAGTAACCATCTACAACCCTAACTCATAACACCAAGCTTCTATATCTAAAAGACAAAGTATTTTTTGGCTTTGAGATGTGGATCTAAGGTATAGATTTGACTTATGTATTTGTTTCATGTACTATACACTAGTTATAATAAGTGACAGCAGTAGAATAGGAAACATTTTCCATAATCATCTTACTTTGGGGATTTCTGGATTTATAAAGTTAACTTACTCCATGTTAAACATCCTATGGGCTTAAAAACACAAATACTGATATTTGTTAAATATTCATACTAGAACATAAAATATGAACATAGAGAAATTATAATTTTAAGGTGCTGCCTATGATCTCTGCTTTATCTCTAGTTACAATTCAAACGCCAGGTCTCTCTAGGGTGAAGGGGAAGGATCGGGGCAATGAGAAAAGGAGATGAAGATGAAAGCAGGTAACACGATAGGGAGACCCTCATCCTGTTCTCCATTCTTTCCCCGTATTTAAGAATCATTTCTGGAACAAGAGTGTTATAATTGAATAAATTACCGAGATCACTTTCTTTTTCTGATTCCTCCTCACACCCTTGAAGATCTCAAACACTATAAATCTTATAATATTGGAATAAATGCTCAGTCACCATTGCTGTTTCCTTTGCTCAGATTTGAAAACTCTGAATATCTAATGTCTGCCCAAGAATTATCTCCAGATTTATATGTGATTAAGTCTTATAACACAGCTGCATTAGGAGCTGGTAAATATTAATTATTTCAGCTACATAACAATAATGATAACCAATAATTTTTTTACATGGCAATGCGGCTATTTCTTTATAATTAACCATAGTTACTGTAAACAGTACATCGAAGTCAAGACTATCAGATAGGCAGTTTTTGCCATGTAACTTTCTTTTTTGTAAGCAATATAAAAAGTTACTTTAAGATCGAAAGCATAGAAGTATGTTCTAAAATTCAGCAAACCGATTTTTATGGAGATTGACTTCTTCTCTATATAGCAACAATATCCTTTTTTTACCCAAGATAATTTATACAAATGTGTAATCAAGTGATTAAAATCACAGGTTTATAAAGAAGTCAGCATTTAGCCTTAATTCTAATACATTTATTTCATCCTCCTTTTCATAATGAACAGAACACTGTAAACAGTATTTATTATCTGTTGCTTTTGAAATATAGCAGTATGAACAGAAGAAAAACAAATGGCACTAAAGTACATGCACATGCTCTTATGCAATGTTCAGAAGCTATTTATCAGAAGAGGAAGTCAGACACACTCTTGAGTTTTGTAGGGTTTATGAGATTTCCAGGGTAAATTATTCACAAAAGACATATTCATTCTGCCGGATATGTCACCATGTTCAGTATTATTAGCTTTTTTTATAAAGACTAAAGAGCCATTAAGATTGTTCTTCAAAGGATTTTCTGATTTTCTAAATTCCTTATTTCATATGAAGTTACTACATATATAAATATAACTTGGGTGAAGAGGGACTTCAATTCTATTGGATGTATTTTATTTCTTCAGCTATAGGTTGATGTTCATCATATTTTTAATACTTTCATGTATGTTTGAAATTTTTAACAATATATTTTTTAAAACTAAAATTAAAATAATACTTGAAGCTACATGAAGGTAATCAATTATTTTAGTTCTAGAAGGGAAACTTACCTTTTAGGTTCTATTGAGGTAGGTAAAATAAGAATTTTTCTAGATTTCAAACACAAAGCTTAATCAACAATCAAATATATCTTGATTAACATTTATTTGAACTATATTAAGCAAATGTTTACACAGCATACCAATTTTTTCCTGTTGATGTCACCATAAAATTATATCAAAGATTTTTTAAAAATGTTATGATTATGAATTCAAACGATGATGAAGATATGACAATGACAGCTGCGAACATGTATTAAGTGCTTACCGTGTTTCTGATATCTTACTAAACACAACCAATATCACTCAATCTTCAAAAATCTCATGAGGTTGCTATTATTTTTATTTTTATAAATGAGGAGACAAAAAAATAAATAATTTAACAAAGTTCTCAAAGCTAGTAAATGAATGCTCAGGTTTAAAAATACAAGTCTGTCTAATTTCAATATGCCACACTGATATACATATGATTTAATACTCAGTCTATGAAACATTTTCTCTTCTGAGGCAAATATTTCTTTTTGTAACCCTACACTTGAAAAAAAGTTTTTACAAATATCTTGATCTTTAGTGATCATTCTTAACTATGTTTTAAAAGTCCCAGTTTGAAACTAACTGATCAGTTAATTTCTGGTTGTTAAATGTCCTGTGCAAGTTTTTTATAATGGAATGTTTTTTCCTGCAAGTGGTAGTTTTGTAATATCTTGAAAAGAATCAAATTTGAAATTTATTTCCAAAAAGTAAAAAGCCACCGACAGGCTTACAGTCAGTATATTATGAAGAAAAAATTCAAGAAAATAATGAATTAAAAATTTTCAAACTATGAAATTCTAAATTAAGCATTACTTATTGAATGACTTCTCAAACATAAATTTCACAAAAATTATAGAATTTGATGCAAAAATACCATTTGATATTCTAAAAAATACATCAACAGTTTTATCAAATCTGTGCTAACTTAATAATAAATATAAAAAGATTTCATACAAAAAATTGTATGAAATCAATTAAACAAATGTATGGAACACATATATATCTATTTTTGTATAAGGGCCTTTTCTACGTACAGTCTCTACACTTACGAAACTTAAAATATTTTAAGAGGACAAAAAGTATCAAACAACCAATTCCAAGGCGAAACACGGTTATCTGGTACATGGTAAGTACTCAATAAATATTTCTAGAAGGGAGGGAAGAAAGGGAGGTTAAAGGAGCGCAGAGAGATATAATCCTTTCCACAGCCCTCAAATTCCTCCAAAAAAGAGCCCTACTCAATTTATAGCCTTTTCTATCACTACTACCTTACATACTCCCAAAGTGGACTATTCTGAACACACCATTTACTCTCTTGATCCCATGTGTTTGTTCATATAGTTCCCTCTCCTTCAGTTAATAACCTCAGAGTCTCCTGACAAAATATTGCATGATGAAGTCTCTCCTTCAACTACTATCTTTCATTTCCTCTCTACTTCACAGCCAAACATTTTGAAAGGGTCCTTTATACTCACTGTCTTCATTTCTTCATCTGCTCTTGCAATCTGGTCTTTGCTCTAATCACTACATTGAAACATCATTTTAGAAATCATCAATAACCTTCAAATTACTAAATCTAGTAGACATTTTTCTGTCCTCATCTAACTTGACATCTCATTTGACCATTCTGTTCATTTTCCTTGGCTTCTATGACTCCATACTCTTGATTTTGTTCCCATGTTTCTGGATACTCCTATTTTCCCTTTTGAGGCTCATCTTTCAAGCTGTTGTACCTTCATCATTTAAAGTCTAGGAGTTCCTCAAGGATTGGTCCTTGGTCACCTATGTTCTCATTCTATACTGCCTCCTAGGCAATCTCATCCATAATTATTGCATTAATTACCAATCACATACAGATGAACCCTAAATATATACTCTACCCAGCCCTCTCCCCTCATTTCCAACGGAAATAATCTAAAATCTAAAATATTAATTGATTAAAAGATAATTTTCAAAGTAGCCAATTTGCCAAATTATTTAGGATTTAATTTTTTTTGAGCTTTTACACATTTTTTTTTTCACCTCACATAGTTACTTTTTTGGTTACTATTAGGAATGCTTAAGATCTACTCTTTTGGCAAATTTCAATTACACAATATGGTATTATCACCTACAGTAACCATGCTATATATTAGCTCTTAAGGATTTATTTAAGGTTTTGCCATATCCCTAGCTCTGAAGAAAAAGGGCTATAATTTGTTCTAACATAACTTAAGGCATTTGTTTGGCAGTTTCAAGTAGATTATCAAACAACTGATTATTTGGTACATTGATTTTCAATGACTTGAAATGAATGATCAAAAGCCAGATCCAACTGCCTCTTCCATATCTCCTCTTTTGGATATCTAAGGCATCTTAAATCCATCATGTCCAAAGTTGAAGTTACAATATTTCCCTTCAAACCTGGTCTCCACTGCCATCCATACAGGTAAACCAGCCAGAAATTTTTAGTACTCATTACTCCATCATCACCATTACCACCCTTATTAGAAGCTTTTCAAGCCTGGACAAGAGTCTCCTCTCTGATCTGCTCAGGCTCACTCTGGCCCTCTTCAATCTATGTCCACCCTGAAAGATCTTTTCAAAACACAATCTAATAATGGTACGCACCTGTTAAAAACAAGACAACAGGTTCAATATGGAGTTCCTTATGCTAAGACCCACATAACCAAGCCACGGCTTAATTACAGTTTCTGTTCTGCCAGAAATGGAATCTTAAATCAGTCAATCAGCACTAGTTTGTAATCTGCCTGAGAGACCCCTGCTGTCCTCTAAAGGAAGGTAACCTTTCAATAACTAACCCACTTTTTTTTTTTGCCTCGTATAACTTTCTTATTCCTGTTCCCTTCTGCCTATAAGTCTTTTGTTTTATACAGCTCCTTGGAGCTCCTCACTATCTGCTAGATTGGATGCTGCCTGATTCATGAATCATTGAATAAAGCCAAAAGGATTTTAAAAAGTTACTCAGTTGAGTTGTTTTCTAACACACCAAATTATTCTGCAGCTTACACTACTGCCATGATTTTCCATTACTTTTAGGATAAAAACAAAAATGTTTAATATAAGCTTACCAACTCAATGATTTGGAACTGCCCCACATACCCACCCTCACTTCATACCATATTCTTCTTTGCTCCTTGCACTATAGCTACCCAGATCTTTTTCCCCTCCTCACATGTATCACATTCCTTCTTGTCATGGCACCTTGATACTTGCTGTTTCTCCTGCTGAAATTCTCTACTCTCAACTTCCTACTTGCCTAGTTAACTCTTATTCACAATTCACATTTCATGTGGATATTTATTTGCCCAGGGAATATCTCCCTGAGCTACCTAAGTTACTTCTCCAAAATATGCTCTCAGAGCCTCAAGTATCTTTCTTTCATGGCACTTATCACAGATATAATTTGCTATTTACTTATTTCATTGATCAGCGTTGGTTTTGTCCACCAGATTGTAAGCATTGTGAGGGTGGAGGGCACCTATTTTTATTTGTTTGTTTCCCTCACCCCTTTATCTCCAGTGCCTAGTGCACTACCCGGCATTGGATAGGTGTCTTTGAGTATGTCGTCATATGCTGTGAGATGAAATGGGAAGTGTGCATAAAGCACTCTGTTGCATTCCAAAGTACTATCGCTGTCTTGAGAGAAAGCACTGTGATTCTTTGAGTTGTGAACTGAACTTTTTTTCATGGAACATGATTTTTACTTGAAAGAACAACTGACAGACAAATTATGGTTATTTAGACTTAGGTATTTGGCAGGCACTTTCTTACAAATGAACAAAGTCAGCTTTAACTTAAAGAAAACAACTGACAGTATTTGTTGCCAGTAATAACATTTGAGCTTTCAGTAAAAATTAGAGTTTGGGAAAACTTGTATACACCACCATGAGTTTGACAGCTTTCCAATAAGTAAAGACTTTCATGAGAATATTATGACAATATCACTGAATCTGATTTTAAAAATGTATTGTATAATAAATACGTCAACATTTGGAAGATCTGCATAACTGAATCAACCAGTATCTTCGGTTTGATGTTACAAGATTATATAAGGGTAAAAGATCCATTCAAAGTGCAGTGTAGGCCAGTGGATTTTAACATAACAGATGACAAAAGTTTCAAATTCCACACTGCAACTAAACTTTAAGAAACTACCACTAGCCAAGTGTTGATTCAGTATCAAAGAAGAATATCTACAATAATCTGAAAGGGCTATTAAAATACTCTTCCTTTTTCCTACTTCTTTATCTGTGAGGCAGATTTTCTTAATATACTTTATGAAAAACAACACACTGCAACTACTGAATAAAAAAAGCAGATGAGAATATAGCTGTCTTCTATTACTCACTGAAGAGATTTGCAAGAAGGTACATAATGCCAAAGAGTTTGAAAACCACTGCTCTAACACATGAAAAGATGAGTAACAGTATGTATTTGCCCTGTAGGAGCCATGACAAATACAGAAGAAATATAGGTAGAATTCTTGACCCAGGTCTAGCTTCAAAGCCAGTCCTCTGAATTACTCTGTTCATGCTGGATAGAAGAACTGAATAGGCAGAATATGAACCTATTATAAAGAATATCAAGAGTAAGGTGGTTTTTAAGTTCAATGAACTGAAAAAGAGGAAATAAATGAAAGTTTGTGAAAAGAGGTATCAGTCAGAGTTTATAAGAAATATTAGTCTAGTAAGATTATATAGCATAATGTCTTTTGAAATACATTACTTGGTTAGTTATTCTGAAAACTTATCCTGTTCCACACTTTTACAAACCAGAGATAAGAAAAAAATCTTATAAAATTATTAAGAGAATTTAAAAAACATACTTACATTTGGGCTCATCAGTTGTAACAGCCAAAATAAAATCATATGGAGTCATGAATAACTGTCCTTCACATTCTATAGAAGCAAACAAACGAAATCTCCTTTCCCGAGATGTAGCATAGAGGTCTAAGTCTTCAATGTCTGTTCGGTTGATAGCAACCTAAAGTTGAGAAAGCAAATAAATTTGGACTGTGTGAAATAATGTCTCCTTTTAGAAGCTAAATGCTTTTAATTATGCTGAAAGTGAATTAACAGAGTAAATGACCAAGTGTGAAAATATTGTCTTCTGGAGAACTTAATTATTTTATAAATAAATTACCCATGTGAATAAAATGAACTAATGTTTGAAAGATCCTACAATAAATATCATTAAGGGCCTGAAAATTCTAAACTGGCACTTTAAAGGACCTGTGATTTACTTCTGAAGTTTCAATTCCAGAAAACATGAAATTTTCTGAGCTAGTAGTTTCTTTAGAAAGAACACTAACTATTGCTGAATGCCTACTATGTGCTCTCTATTGATCTAATCAGAATTCTGTTCAGTATAGTCTATTGGTTTTTTTTTTAAAGATTTTATTTATTTATTTATTTGAGAGAGAGAGAGAGAGCACAAGCAGGGGGAGCAGCAGGCAGAGGGAGAGGAAGAAGCAGGCTTCCTGCTGAGCAGGGAGCGCCATGTGGGACTCAATCCTAGAACCCCGAGATCATGACCCGAGCTGAAGGCAGATGCTTAACTGACTGAGCCAACCAGGTGCCCCTAGTCTATTGATTTTCTAAAAAAAGAAAGTGAAACCCTGATATGCTATTCAGGGCTACCACTAAAGAAACCACTTAGATTAGAACTGAAGTTGCTAACTCTAGATCACTATAGTACAGTTACTACCAATGGTTGCTCTGAATTCTACCTAAGGTTAAGATTATCAGAATTAGAAGAGTGTGTATAAATGCGGGGGGCAGGGGGCAGGAAGTCTCTTTTGTTTTCCTTAATTTCAAGACCTTTCTTTGTGGATAATTTTTCACTGGTCCTTTCTCTCTGAACCACAGCAAATTTATTTTTTAATAGAAGGATTTTTTTTATTACAAAAATGATGAAGAGTTATTATATTTAATTCAGAAGACAGAATTTTTAAAATTTATAGATTTAGTTTTTTCTTTTTCGGCAAAAATGGGATTACACTACACTGTTCAGTAATCTGATATTTTTCACTTACTAATATATCAGGGCTAGTTTCTCATGTCACTAAATACTCTACATACTCTAGTAGACCCTTTTTTAGTAACTGTATAAAATTTCATAGTAAATGTACGATAGCACAATTTATGAATTACATACGGTTGAATATTTATTTAGGTTATTCATAGTATTTTACTATTATAAAACAATGTTAAAATGACCAGGATAGAATATATTTACATATACGTACAAAGAGTTCCTTGAGATAAATTCCTAAGAGTGGATTTGATTGATCAATCAAAATCTTTTCATATATATTTTCACTCTGCCCTAGGGAGTTAACAGCAATTTACAAGATTATCAACAATAATTATATTTTGAACATTTCATAAAAATTACTTTATATTAGAAAAAATTATTATTTAGGATGGCAAGCTTATTCTATTTATTGTCTCTTCCATGTCTATGAGGTCATAATGCAGATTATGTGTAAACTATTAAAATTATTTAAATATCTAATATCTTGAGAAGTCGTATCAAAACAATCCACAAGAACTTTCAAGAGGAGACTACATTTTGTATTTCTAAGTTACACTTTATTAAATGAAAAGCTAGGCAAATGACTAATCTTTTCCCACTATTCTGAAGACTAAGACTTTTAAAAACATTACACAAGTAGTCAATTAAAAACTAAAAGAAAGGTTCATTCCCTACTTTTTAATGGCATGTAAAAGAGATAGAATGTATAGTCTCTGCCTTTAAGAAATATGCAATCTATATGGAGGGACAAAATGGTAGTTGGAGAGACAAAAGGTACAAACATGGAAGACAGTAATGAGTCAGGTTAGAGTAAATCAAAATAAAAAGCACTATAGAGATTGAGGTTAATATGGTTTCATGGGGCTCCTGGTGGCTCAGTTGGTTAAGTATCTGCCTTCAGCTCAGGTTATGATCCCAGGGTCCTGGAATTGGGACCCTGCATCGGGCTCCCTGATCAGAGACCTGCTTCACCTTCTCCCTCTGCTGCTTCCCCTGCTTGTGCTCTCTCTTTCTCTCAAATAAATAAAATCTTAAAAAAAAAAAAAAAAGGTTTCTGGGGCGCCTGGGTGGCTCAGTCGTTGTGTCTGCCTTCGGCTCAGGTCATGATCCCAGGGTCCTGGGATCGAGCCCCGCATCGGGCTCCCTGCTCAGTGGGGAGCCTGCTTCTCCCT